ACTAATTTTCAAATAATTTTAAGGTAGCCAACAATGACAAAGCTTCCTTCACCAACTGCAAGCTCTACTGGACTTAAAAAGTGGTATTAGTACAAATGTAAAACATAATTATGCTAGTTGGAAAGTGTATAGTTGAGGACAGACAGCAGTAGAAATAGAAAAATCTGCATGTTCTCAGCGGATGGGCAGCCAAGCCTGATGTTTGTTTGGACAGCTTCCCTGTAATACCAACACACACACAAACTCCCTCACTCTCCCCCTGCCTCTCTGCCTCTCTCTCCCGCCTTCTTCCAGAATACTAATTCGTCTTATCCCACCCCCCCCCACCACAACCCCCCCACCACCACTGTTTCCCTCAGTGCAGTCTGAGACTAAAACAGTGATTCCTCCTCTAGCTTGAGGCAGTGGGCGCGTGCACATTGATGCGGTCAGATCCACACACACGCCTGGGTGCGTTCAAGGTTACGGAGCCGTGCGGACAGACTGGACACCACACACACACACACACACACACACACACACACACACACACACACACACACACACATGCACACAAGACATACAGATGCAGCCACACACACCCCTCACCACCACCTCCAGTGTGACGTGATTGTAATATAAGATAAGATGGAGAGAAAGAGACAGAAGAGAGACAGAAGGAAAAAAACAGAGACAGTTGTTTATATGTGCATGGTCTGCAGAATGTGTCCCGGAAAGCTAAAAGAAAGAAATATGGAAAGAGGGAGGGGCAAAAGGGGGAGGGGCGGGGAGATGATGTACTGCATTGTCAGAGAGAAATGGAGAGTCTTTTGGCTTCTACCATGACTGAGATAACTGTTGGCTCAGGACATCCACATATTCTAGACCAGGGGTTCCCAACGCAGACCGAGCTGCAACCCCGGTGGATATGAATCTGTATTTTTTGTTACCATATTTTCGATTGAATTCTGCTTTTGCTTCTTCTTCTTTTTTCAGCCCTAAGAAACAGTTTGCAAATGTCAGTTTGTTCATTGTTACATTAGACATCAAATGAAAGCAGCCAACAGCAACCTACAAGCACCTGCAAGGCCATACAGGGATGTGATGTTGGCAAACATTTTAATAGAAATACTTAGGCCCATATCACGGAAAACTGCATTTTCCTCATTTTTTTAAATAAACTAGTTTGCTGTGATACATAAACATTGTCACTCTCAAATCTATAAAGTCCATGTATGGAAACTAAGCGACAACCAATCTATTAACATATATCCACGTCTTCACCCTACAGCACTTTAGCCCTGCCCACTCACACTAAACCATAGAACACGGTCATTAACTGGGCTAGAGTGCAATCCTTACTGAGCTGTGGACAGTTCGAGCAAATGGTCATGCACTGACCCCACATGCTGATCACTCCTTACCTGTAGGCTTAGCTCAGGGGTCTCCAACCAAAATGTTAAGAAGAGCCATTTTGTCCTTTCAACAAAAGTGAAACCACCTTTGGAGCCACAACATTTTATGTCTGTTTTGCTGTAAATGGCTGTAAATATGTGTCGGTATGTGCTGATGTGCTAGTACAGGTTAAAAATATAATATGAACGCAAATGCAGACTTACTTTGCTCTGCTTTGTAGCCGCTTTTCTCACATCTCCAGCAGTAAACTTTTCCACGAAAGTAGAGTTTCTTGTAAAATGTCTCTCAACATTCAACTTTTTGCGAGGCTGAAGTCGCTTCTCATTCACTAGCTTCTCGTTCGAATTGTCCTGTTTCACCTTGCCTGAGGCGCCAGAATGTACTGCTGCACCATTTAAGGTGGAACGGGAAAATTCGAACGAGAAGCTGGCGAATGAGAAGCTGGTGAATGAGAAGCTGGTGAATGAGAAGCTGACTTCACGACTTAGTGTTTGACAGTTTCGTGTTGCAGATTAAAGGTATCAGGAAACAAGTCCATTCCTCTCCAAAATTATTTTTCTCTTAGCCATTTCCTTAGCTACGAGCTAGGCGAGACTGTCTGCACTGCTGTGTGATCACTTTTGGAGTTTGGCACGCAGGCTACTTCCCCCTCTGCTTACTGCTGCACTGTTGCATCCCAGTACTAAACAATCCACAATCCCATACCGTTTCACAGCCCAGTGGCTGGCAACCTCTGGCAAAGACTATATGCTATAGCGGCACACTAAATAAGAAAAAACTATCGCTAATCTTCTTTGGCTAATTGGCACTGTCATAGGATACCACCTTTGCCAAATGTTTTTGTAAAATATCTGCCCTGCTAGATCTGCCCGTCAACTGTGAGCACTATTATTGTGAAATAGAAGCATCTAGGAGCATCAATAGTGTAGCCACAAAATGGTTACCACTTGAAGTGCATTGCATGTAAAAATCACCTACCCCATTGCATCATTCACTACAGAGTTTCAAACAGCCTCTGGAAGCAACATCAGCACATGAACTGTGTGTTGGGAGCTCCATGAAATTGGTTTCCATGGTTGAGCAGCACACAAGCCTAAGATCGATAGGAGCAAAGCCAAGTGTCGGCTGTAGTGTGTAAAGCATGCTGCCACTGGACTCTGTAACAGAGGAAATGTGTTCTCTGGAGTGACAAATCACACTGTTATTTGACCATCTGATGGATGAATCTGGGTTTGATGGATGCCAGGACAATACTACCCTCTGGAAGGCATAGTGCCAACAATAAAGTTTGGTGGAGGATAATGGGCTGGGGCTGGCCCTTTCTTGTTCCAGCATGACTGTGCCCCTATGCACAAAGTGAACTCCATAAAGACATGGTTTGACATGGTTGGTGTGGAGGAACTCCAGTGGCCTGCACAGAGCCCTGACCTCAACCCCACTGAACACCTTTGGAATTAATTGGAACATCAATTGTGAGCCAGGCCTTCTTGTCCAACATCAGTGCCTGACCTCACAATGGTCACAAATTCCCACAGACACACTCTAAAATCTTGCGGAATATCAGAATAAGAGTGGAGGCCGTTATTGACACAAAACGGGGCCAACTCCATATTTACACCCATGGTTTGGAATGGAACGTCCAACAAACTCATATAGTTGAGATGGTGAGGAGTCCACACACTATTGGCCATACAATATATTTTATGCAGTGGCCAATCTGTATCAGAACACTTGTATTTCCACACAGTATTTATATGTGCATTTTGCAGTCTATGCTGAATTGGCATGTTATGCTACCTGCTATGATCATAATTGTTTGTCAGTGAAAGTTTATAGGCTTGATTATCTACATGACTGTTTTTTGCTTTGTGTATGAGCGCACACTTTACGTGAATGAACACTTAAACAAAAGGTTTTACAATGGTATTATACAGTTGTTGTTATTATTATTCAAATTATTTGGTGATACATTAAATATACAAACAGTATATGTGCCTGTTTTATAGATACTTTAATAGAAACTATTCTATTAAAAAGTTTTCATTTCTAATGTTATATTCAATGTATGCTGGACGTGAATGTGCAAAATCTATATATTCTAAACCAAAATAAAAACAGCATTGAGTAGGTATTCATGCATATCTGTCTTGTTTGACCCATACATTGGTAAAAAGAAACTAAATGCTATGGAATAGCTAATGTTTGGGTTGAGGATCATCACCTAAAAGGTTCGTTAAATAAAAGGAGGATCCAACCTCTAGTTTAAAAAGAGGCCAAAAACTCCAAGTTCTCAGAGTTTGTTTACAGCTGTCTGTCGTCACACCTAAATAAGATATATCATTTTACCGCCATAGCTGTAATTTTTAAAATGAAGAGTTAGAAAAGAAAATCATCTCAAAGCTCAAACCTACGGAAGTCCGGAGAGGCCATAAGGTAGTTATAATTTTCTAAATTGTTATCTTGAGATATTCCAAGATTGCAAAGTTGTTATCTTGAAATAACGAGTTAGTTATCTTGTTATCTCGAGATAACTAAAGATGTTATCTTGAAACAAGGAGTTAATTACCTTGTGATCTCAAGATAACAGTTGATATCTTGAGATAACAAATTAATTATCTTGTAATCTCAAGATAACAAAGTGATCTCAAGATAACAAAGTTGTTTTCTTGAGATAACAAGTTATTTATTTTGTGATCTCAAAATAACAAAATGATCTCAAGGTAACAAAGTTGTTTTCTTGAGATAACAAGTTAATTATCTTGTGATCTGGATTGTTATCTTCAGATAACAAGATAAGCAACTCGTTATTTCATTATAACAACTTTTGTTATCTCGAGATAACAAGATAATTAACTCATTATCTCAAAATAACAATCCAAAAAATTATAACTACCTCATGGCCTCTCTGGACTTCCGTACTCCGGACTTCCATACAAACCACCATTTTGAAACATAAATGAATGTAACATCATTATGCTAGAAGTTAACTATGCTGCCTGTCACTGCCTAAAAATGATAGAAACACACAGTGAAAACAGAAGTTAGAACACTACTGGGATGATTCCTACAGTATTTAGGAAATTTAGTCTAGTTAGGATACTTCTATAATACTATTTTTCTGGAGTTAGTATAAGATTATGAACTGTTATTCGCTAATAGCTACTGTCCTCACTGAAGCTGTCATGCTGACTAAACAGATAAGATTTCAGAGTTAAGAAGTGTCTTTAATACGGCTCCAGGTCTATAATGCACCCTCTCACATCAGAACACTGTGAAGGACTTGAGAACTGAATTATTTAGAAAGGTGAAAATCGATGGAATTCCCCTTTAATATTATGACGTCAAATTCCTTTAAAGTACAATGGCGTAAAAGACGCCAGTGTTATGGCGTACATGGAATTAGCTTGTGAAAAACGGCGGGAAAAGAAAGACAAGAAAACAAAAAAAAAAAAAGCAAACCTCTCAGACACACTGACTTACTGACTGACTGACTCAAATCTCACAGCATGCCACAGAGCGTGTGTGCTGCACGCGTGTGTGTGTGTGTGTGAGGGAGGGAGGAGAGGATGACGGGGAAGAGAGAGCGAGAGAGGGAGAGAGAGAGAGAGAGAGAGGCGCACACACTCGCAGCCTCGCTGAGAGAGGAGAGGCGAGAAAGAGAGTGAGACGCGAAGAAGAGGACGAAGAGGAGGAGGTGGAGGAGGGAGAGATAGAGAGAGTGAGAAGAAAAAGAGCAATGTCTGCTGAAAAGGCGCCTCTTCGTCTTCCTCGTGCACTGACCGGCCCTCGCTGAGACACCATGGGCTGTATCGGCTCCCGCACTATCAGTAAGAAAAAAAAACGTCTTTTATTTATTTATTTGACCTTATTCCGTCTTTTTTCTGCTAGGCTAAGGACTGGGGGATACTCAGAGACCCCTACCACCTCCCCTCCAGCCTCGCAGGGGAGTGTGTGCGTGTGTGTGTGTGTGTTTCTATGGAAACCCTTTGGGGTAAAAGGCCGTTTAGTCTTCACAGCTTTTAGCCCGTCATGTAGGATGGTGGCTGGCGGGCTGCTGAAGGAAGAAGGGAATGATGGGAGGAAAACGAGGGGATCTGAACTGCCGCAGACTGAGCGAACGGTTAGAGATAGCGGGGGGCTGGGAGGGGAGACACGGATGAAAGCAGAGAGATAGAGTGAAGGGCGGATGAAAGAGCGCTAGAGCTGAGGCGTGCGGTGATCTAGGGGATGGATGAAAGAAGCGAGTGAGAGAAAAGATATATAGGGAAAGAGGTAAAAAGCGCGGGAAAGCTGGGGAGGACGTGAGGAAACGCGCGTGTGGAGTCCCACCAGATGGATAAGTGACGCTAAGGTCAAGAAACGTGCTGTGTTGTGTTTTTTTGGTGAAAATACCAGCCGTTTCGGGATCTGCATTGTGGTGCGTGTGCGCGCGCGCGCCTGTCTGTGTGCGCGCACGTGTGCATGCGTCACAAAGATGCTCAGGCGTGCGCGCGGTGCATTTCAGGTTAAGTGGTAGAAAACGACTGCACGCGAAAAAAAACAGAACATACACACTGCCTCACACACCTGTGATGGGCAGCCCCGCATACACACACACACACACACTCACACGAGCTCAGGTGTGACATAGAGGCAGCCGGCGGATGTGGCTACAGTAGGTCAAATTGTGCTAAGTCAACAGAGCCCGTGGCCACATGAAGCATGACGGCGGTTCCGCCAACATGACACGCGCTCTCGCCAATTCAAACAGCAGCTGTAGTGAAAGCTCCCGCTGGCTGCGTCCAGAACCGCACACTAGCACCCTACATAGTACGCCAAAAATTAGGGATGCACGGAATTTCAAACCGGTGTTAATGTAGTTCAGAAAAAGCACAATGTTTAGGTGATGCTGGACCTAAACATTCTGTTTTTTATGTACACAAAGGCATTCAGGACTGCTGGACTACTTAAATGTCTGCATTTTATTTCTTGTACTGCATTAGGAGTCCTACTGAAATAAATGTTACATTTCTCTGTGATGCTGTTCCAAGTAGATTTCTACATTTCTTCAATTCTATACTATTAATATATCGGATCAAAAATCAAATAATCCTAAATCACATCCCTGTAGAAAACAATACAACCCTATTAGAAGTGCATTCATTAGTACATACTATACTACATACTATATACTATACTATACATAGTATAGTAGTATGCAGTTTTGGACACAGCCATTCATTCTGCTTCATGGAGTAGCAGTTTGCAATGAGAATAGCAATAAATAGAAAATGCAGTGTGTTTTGTGTACATCAGATATAACCTTTTAAAGGTACAAATGCAATACAGGCTACAAGTCTATGTTATAGTCTAATCTGATAGTCACTGCATCAAAACGTAGTTGTTGTGAAAGCTCCCATTGGCTGCGTCCAGAACTGCATACTAGCACACTAAACAGTACGCCAACAATTAGGCAAACTGATGTTGATGTGCTCCAGAAAAGCAGAATAGTAAGCCCACTCACATTAATGTGGGACTTTTTCCATAATCCAAGTAGATTTCTTCCTTTTTAAAAATGTTTATACATCAACATCAGTATGAAAAATATCAGATATTTCCATGTTGCATCCCTATTAAAAATACTTCAACTCTTATTAGAAATGCATATAGTAGTATAGTAGGCAGTTTTGGACACAGCCATTTATTCTGTGTCTAATGGAGTAGTGGTTTGCAATGAGAAGATCTAGTTCAAGGACAGAATGCAAAATGTAGTCCTTTGTGTTTGCATCATATGCAGTCTTTTAAAGGTACAAATGCAGTACAGGCTACAGATGTATGTAATTATCTAAGCTGTCTGTAACTGCATCATTTCTTTGCTTCTTTGGAGCACGTATAGAACAGAATTGTTCTGTGGGGGTATCTCAGTAAAGCAGCATTTGAGTATGTAAACCAGTGCTGATTCGTCAGGAAGGTTTCTGGACTACCACTGAAGCAGTGGGGAGCTACCCGTGAGTGCGGCAGCCTATCAAAACAAAACCCAGGCCGGGAATGAAATAAATAATTGGCGCCGAGTTTGACCTTTGATTGTCATTGAGCCTGCGTGAGAGGCTCAGACAGAGCCGGTGGAGAGAAAGTGGGGGTTTCTTTCTGAGGAGAAAAAAAACAGGACACGTTCAAAACCCTACAGCAGTGAAAGTGGTAAAGTGGGGCAGAAAATTGGGCAAATTAATTTAACGTCCCTTTTTTTTCTGCCCGACAAACCACACTGATTAAAAGTAATGCCTTGAATGTAGCTGAGTCAAACGTCAGCATCATTTTCATGGGAATAAAATATTACATCAATGGCAGTTATTGCCAAAAGTCAAAATTATGTTGATGTAATATGTTTCATTCTTTTGGAAATGAATGATTTTTTTCACTGTCAATTTGTGGGTCCCATTTCCTGTAAAGAAGTGCAGCACGACTGGACTGTGTGAGGGTAGAGGGTAGCTTCCTGTTTGGGTCTGGAATTTGTTTAGGAAATTGGTTTGCTGTAGGAGGAGCCTGGCTGTCATATTTAGCGCAGTTTGCTATAAATAGATTCTGGTTTACCGTGACCGTGGAGAAGAGAGGAGTGGAGATGTGTGCAATATGGGTCAAATTTTTCCCATACAACAGTCCAAACTGTCTCATATGTTGTGAGAGATATTTTTGTTTTTCCATGTAAAATAAAGCACAGTGAGGTCCCCTTAATACTGTATTGTTAATCAAGTTTCATCCACTTTCTTATTAAGCTGTTTATCTACTTCCAAGTAACTGTCTAGAGTTACAGGCCTTATTGTTGGTTGGTTATCTCGATACGTACCACTTTTAAACATGCTATGAGTCTTTTATTAAATAGAATTCAAATATGAAGTTATGAAATAACATGGGATGAGAAGGATAATTCACAAAATTCCCCCTCTACATTCTATGCCTTATAAATCCCCCCCTCTCCTTCAGTTTCCTATGACAAAAAACTTTGCAGATAAAACTGCCACAGTCATCCACATTGTTAATAAGCACACTCTAAATCCCTGACACCCGTTCCGTTTCTCTGCCATCTCACCTGGCATTCAGTTTAGCATCAGTTTGTAATCAGAGCCATACTTATTCCAGGATGTTCAGCTGCTTAGCTGAGACTCTACTGCTTGAAATTTAAGAAATCCAGAGCTTTGGCTTCCCAAGCACACCCAGCACCAGTTCCCCCTTTTAGAATGCAGCATTCTCTGCCTCCCGACAAGGACTCCTTGATCATGCCATCCAATTCATTTGGCGCTGGTCTTCCTAAGGATACTTCATATGCATCCACTCACTCAAGATCTCCAAGAAGCTCATGAGAAGCTGGCATCAGTTTAATCTGGAGTTCTTTTAGGGTCTGGCTTCCGCAATCTCAGCAAGCCGCCCGCCCCAGAACTCCTGCCGAAGCTTCTCAGAGTTCCTTCCTCTGTTCCCAGGTCAGTTTTGGGTACGGTCCAAATGCGCAGAATAAGGTTGAAATGTAAATATAAGGTATTTACATTGTTTCGTGAGACAGGCCCCAGCTCGTGTTTTTGTTGTTGTTGTTGTTTACACACTACTGTTAGAGTGTAGGGGGCCTCCAAAGACTCTTGTGACCTGGGGCTTCACAAGTCCATGATCTATCCCTGCCCTTGAACTTGAATTAAGTTATCCGGCTATTTTCAAAGCACTCCTTTGTGAACTACCCCCTGCTCCTCTTTTCTTTTGTTGTAATGCCACAAAACTGCTTTAGAAGATCTCCCTGCTGCAAATAATGACTCAGTTTCACTTCTATTAGTCATATGACAGATGGCAGTGGAGATGAGCATTGCCAGCCAAAGCCACCAAGTTACAAGAAAACCAGTGTGTACTGTGATATTATGTAACTCAAGCCACTTTCAAACTACTTGTAATTCAGCATCTACTTCATTATAAACACTTGGATTGTGCTTACACATAGGCTTCTAGGTCCACTATATAGGTGTGCAATCACAGACTGTAGCCCATCTGTTGTCATGCGCACTCTCTACCCTGTTCAGCATTGGTCTGACCACAAGATAGCTCTTGTTATTTGGGTGGTAGATCATTCTCAACACAGCAGTGATATTCACATGGTAGTGGCATGGTATTGACGCTGGTATGAATGTATCAGGCACAGCAGCGATGCCAAGGTTTTTTATACATATCTGCTAGGTTGAAAGTGGTCTGACACCCAACATTGTCCAGCTCTGTGGTCATAAACTGACCACTGGATTGATTTACATCGACATAGCTAACAGTTATACAAATACAGGCAATATATTACAATTTAAAAGTTCTGACTCTGTGTAAAAATTTGGAATCATTGTTTTCAATAATATTAATTTAATTTTGTTGCAAATAAAAGTACAAAAATATTCTGATATGTTCCTAGTGCTCTATAACAAAATGAATCATTTGTAGAAAGCTGTAAAAAATGTTTTAGACATTCTTGATGTTTGAAGAACGGTGAGTGGAGCTAGTGATTCTAACATGATTGAGAAAGATGTATAACTGTACAACATTAAGATCACCATTTTGAAATTACAGTAGATAATTACAAACAGCTCTTCATGGCATGGATTCAACAAGGTGCTGGAAACATTCCTGAGATATTTTTGTCCACGCTGACATGATTGCATTGCATAAATGCTGCAGATTTGTCAGCTACACTTTCATGCTGCAAATCTCCTGTTCTACCACATCCAAAAGGTGCTCTACTGGATTCAGATCTGGTAACTGGGGAGGCCATTGAACTCAATGTAATGTTCATAAAACCAGTTTGAGATTTCTTTTGTGACAAGGTGCATCA